AATGCTGAGAAGGGTTCAGTTTAACATTCTTAGTCATTGCATAACATGGCTGTTATTGTGTACAAAGTCCTCTTGGTTCTGCTCACTTCACTCAGCATCAGACCATATAAGTCTTCCCAGGTTTTTCTGAAGTCAGCCTGTTCATCATTTCTTATAGCACAATAGTATTCCATTACATTCATATACCACAACTTGCTCAGCCATTCCCCAATTGATGGGCATCCTCTCAATTTCCAATTCTTTGCCACCACAAAAAGAGCTGCTATGAATATTTTTGTACATGTGGGTCCTTTTCCCATTTGTTTGATCTCTTTGGGATATAGCCCTAGAAGTGCTATTGCTGGATCAAAGGGTATGCACTTTTTGTAGCCCTTTGGGCATAGTTCCAAATTGTTCTCCAAAATGGTTGGATCATTTCACAACTCCACCAACAATGTATTAGCGTTCCAATTTTCCCACATCTTCTCCAACATTTATCATTTTCCTGTTTTGTCATGTTGGCCAATCTGATAGGTGTGATGTGGTACCTCAGAGTTGTTTTGATTTGCATTTCTCTAATCAATAACGATTTAGAGCATTTTTTCATATGACTATAGATGGCTTTAATTTCTTCATCTGAGAACTGTCTGTTCATATCCTTTGACCATTTATCAATTGGGGAATGGCTTGTGTTCTTATAAATTTGTCTTAATTCTCTATATATTTTAGAAATGAGGCCTTTATCAGAAAGACTGGTTGTAAAAATTCTTTCCCAATTTTCTACCTTCCTTCTAATCTTAGTTGCATTGGCTTTGTTTGTGCAAAAACTTTTCAATTTAATGTAATCAAAATTATCCATTTTGCTTTTCATAATGTTCTCTATCTCCTGTTTGGTCATGAATTCTTCTGTTCTCCATAGATCTGATAGGTAAACTATTCCTTGTTCTCCCAGTTTACTTATGGTATCAGCCTTTATATCTAAGTCCTGAACCCATTTTGACTTTATTTTGGTATATGGTGTGAGATTTGGGTCTATGCCTAGTTTCTGCCATACTCTTTTCCAGTTTTCCCAGCAGTTTTTTTTTCAAAGAGTGGGTTCTTATCCCAGAAGCTGGGGTCTTTGGGTTTATCAAATAATAGATTACTATAGTCATTGACTACTGTGTCTTGCATATTTAACCTATTCCACTGATCCACCTCCTTATTTCTTAGCCAGTACCAAGCAGTTTTGATGATTGCTGCTTTATAATACAATTTAAGATCTGGAATTGTTAAGCCACCTTCCCCTGCATTTCTTTTCATTAGTTCCTTTGATAATCTGGACCTTTTGTTTTTCCAAATGAATCTTGTTATTATTTTTTCTAACTCTATAAAATAATTTTTTGGTGGTTTGATTGGTATGGCACTGAATAAGTAAATTAGCTTAGGTAGGATTGTCATTTTTATTATATTAGCTTGGCCTACCCATGAGCAACTGATGTTTTTCCAATTATTTAGATCTGATTTTATTTGTGTGAAAATATCCCTCTTTTTACACTCAAATAGTTATCACCTCAGTACAAGGTCTCATCACCTTTTGCCTGAATAGCTTTCTAATTGGTCTCTTCCTATTCCAATCCATCCTCTACCTAGCTGCCAAAGTGATTTTTTGGGGGAGGCAATCGGGGTTAAGTGATTTGCCCAGGGTGACACAGCTAGTAAGTGCCTGAGCCTAGATTTGAACTCAGGTCCTCTTGACTCCAGGGCTGGTATTCTATCCACTGTACCACCCAACTGCCCCTCAAAGTGATTTCCCTGAAGTCTGACCATGTCATCTTACTACTCAACAAACTCTGTAAACTGGCCCCTTCTTACCTTTCCAGTCTTATATTTTACTCCCCACCATACGCTACAATTACTTTCATTGTCCTACTTGCTGTTCTCACATAACATGCTATCTCCCTTGGTACACTAGCTGTCCCCCATGCTTAGAAAATTATGCCCCCTCACCTCTGCCTCCTGGATTCCTTGCCTTCCTTCAAGATTCATTTTATATCCCCCTTCTGTAGGAGTCCTTTCCTGTCCCCCATCCCTTTAATAGTGCTTTTCTTTCGATATTACTTAGCTTAGCATTTATGTACATTGTCTCCCCCATTAAAATGTGAGCCCCTTGAGAGCAGGGGTGGTTTCTGCCTTTCTTTGTATCATATTTGTTAGACTCTTCATGACCCCATGGACCATAGCATGCCAATGCTATCCATGGGGTTTTCTTGGCAAAGATACCGGAGTGGTTTGACATTTCTTTACCCTGGTACACAGTAAGAGCTTAATAAATGATTGTTGAATGACTTTACCTCCAGCCTCTAGCACAGTGCCTGACACATAATAGGCCTTAATAAATGCTTGATGAATTTAAATGAATTGGGAGAGTAAGCTTAGTAGAGTGTATAAAGAGCTGGTCTCAGAGCTGAAAGATCCAAGCTGAAGTTTTGACTCTGACACATACCAAATGTGTGACTCTGGACAAGTCACTTAACCTTTCAGTGTTCCAGGCAACTCTCTAAAACTATTAGTTGCTGAGAAGGTGCAGATCAGCTTTAGTATAGGGAGCTCCCTATACTAATTGAATCAGAGGTGCAGTACAAGAACAAAAGACATTAGAATTAAAATGAATTGAACTACCCAGCTCCAAAAGCATTCCATTATGCTTTCTGAATAGTTCTGATTATTTGGAACATCTTCCTCACATTATGTCTATATCTGCTTCTCTAAAACTTCTAACCACTCTTTCTAGTTCTTTCTACCCTTTAGAGGTTGAGAAGAACAAATCTATTCACAATTCTTCAAATACTTCAAGGCAATTATCACTTTAAAACCTTAAAGTGTTTTTAAAGCTTAAAACCTCACTAAGACTTCTAGGAAACTGTATAACTGTCATTTATCATGTCCACCCTAACTCTTCTCTTCCTGTCTCCAGGCTAAACTTCCTCATTTCCTTCATATGGCATGAAAGCATTCAAATAGTTTTGGTCTGTAGGTCTGCAGGGACCCATCTTCTCCTACCCCAGTGGCCATTCCCCTTACTGAGGAGCACCCCTCTACATGTGCCCTTGATCTCATTCCATCCTATCTCTTCCAGCAAATGGCCCCCTTAAGCATCCTCACTTTCTCAGTAAATTTCAATCTCTCTCTGTCTACTGGCTCCTTCCCTATTGCCTACCTTAAAAACAAACCCTCCCTTTAAAAACAAAACAAAACAACCTTATTTGCTAAGTATTATTCTGTATCTCTCCTCTCTTTCAGGGCTAAATTCCTCAAGAAAACCACCTGCAATTGGTCCTTCCATTTTCTCTCCTTCTACTCTCCTCTAAACCCTTTGCAGTCTGGCTTCATTCAATAGAAACGTTACTTCCAAATATACTAATCATTTCTAAATTGCCAAATCCAATGGTCTTTCTCATTCTTCATCCCTCTTGACGTCTTGGTAGCTGATGATAATGTCAATCTCCCTCATCTAGACACTGTCCTCTCCAGGGTTTTTTGTGTTTTGTTTTGGTTTTTTTGGTAACATTTCTCTTACCTGTCTGACTGGGCCTTCTTGGTCTTAATTGGTTTTCATCCAGGCCATATCCACTAAAGGTGGGTATCCCTCAGGGTTCTATCCTTGGCCCTCTTCTTCCTCTATAATGTCATGCTTGATGGTGACATTAGCTTGAGTCAATTATCATCTTTATTCAGAAGATTCTCAGATCCACTTATCTAGCCCTAATGTCTCTCCAGACCTCTGTTCTTGCATCACCAACTACCTATTGAATATCTAGCAAATGAATGCCCTTTACAAACTCAGCATGTTCAAAACAGAATTCATTTTCTTTTCCCCTAAAACCTCCCCTCTTCCAAATTACCCAGTTAGTCTAGGTGTCATCCTTGCCTCCTGACTTGCATTCACTCCAAATATCTAATCTGTTGTCCTCATTTTTACCTTCACAACATCACTTACATGCATCTCCTTCCTTCCTTTGGCAAAGCCTGGTGGCAGCATCCTGGCGGCTGAACCCTGGTACACTCTCTCATCACCTCTCCCCCAGATTTCAGTGGTCTGCTGGTGTCTGCTTACAAGTCTCTCCCTACTCCAGTCCATCTTCCACTCAATTGCCAAAGTGAATTTCCTTAAGCACAGGAGTGACCACTTCACTCTCCTATTCAATAAATTCCTGTAGTTCCCCGATTACTTTCAGGATCAAATATAAAGTCCTTTTACTTTTAAAACTCTTAAAATCCCTTCCTACCTTTCTGGTTTCTTATACTTCACCTTCCTTCACCTAGTCCATGATCCAGCAAAACTGGCCTTTTGGCTGCTCCTGGCAGCTCCTGACTTCATTCATGCCTTTGCATTGGCTGTTTCCCATGACTGGAATGATTTCCCTTGGTCTCCTGGCTTCCCTGGCTTCTTTTAAGACTGCATCTACAAGAGGCCTTTTCCATTCCCACCCCCACTCCCCCTACCTCCTGATCCCCATTAATGCCTTCCCTCTCAGATTACCTCCCATTTATACTGTATGTATGTAAGTAGCTTGCAATATTGTCTCCCTATTATACTGTGAGCTTTTCGAAAGCATGGCGAATATTTTTGCCTTTTTTGGGGGGGGGGATCCCCAGCGCTTAGCACAGTGCCTGGCACATAGCAGGCGCTTTGAAAATGCTTACTGACTCTTGATCACCCTGTATCAGCTAAAGACAGAAGTGGGATATGGGGCCTGGAGAATTCGGGCCACATGAGTGAGAGAAACCCAGACGGTCAGACGTGAGCATCCGCGGGACAAAGCCTGGACAGACGAACACAACGGGCCTGGAGTGGATGGGTTAAGGCCAGGCTCAGTGCCCACTCCGCTCCCACCCTCTCTCCCTGCCAGTCCCCATCCTCCACCCCCGGGGCATGCGAGGGGAGACCTACAGGTAAGGCCCGGGGAGCCGGCGCGCGCTCGGGAACAGGCGCTCCAGCCTGCATAGGACCCTGGGATCGCCAGGGCGAGGATACTTACTGCTCGAGCCGTCAGAATCCTGGGGACAAGGGAGCTAATAGTGGCAGGAGAGCAGCAGGAGGCTGTAAAAGGCTAAAGCAGAAGGAGCCACTGCTTCGCGGAAGTTCCACTTCCTTTTACTCTTCCTTCTTCCTTCACCCAGCCCTAGACCACTCCCACCAGACCAGTCCCCAACTTGCGCTTAAAGGAGAAAGAGCCTGGATTCCAGGACAACTACCCCAAGTAACCTTGCCAGTTAAACCTCATTTTCCAGAGGAGGACCCCAAAGGCAAAGGTTACACAATTAGGCTGTGGATAATCCGGGATTCGAACCGGTGTTCTCTGACTCCAGCTCCTGTGCGCTCTCCAAGTGGAATCACAGAAATGACGGGAATCAATGAGTTGGGAGAGAATTCAGACATCATTCAATTTCGTGTAAGCAAAACGTCTATGTGCAAGGCTCTGTGCTAGCAACCTGGGCGTACAAAGACCAAAACGAAAGTCTCAGTCCTCAAAGAACATTTTGTGGCCCATCATCACTATAATGACATCGACAAAAGGTTAGTTGAATGCCTCCAGGACAGGGGTATCTCTGAAGTCAGCCCTAATTGTTTGTTTGGCTGTTGGAAGTCCTGTGGTCTTTTTCTCCAAGGTTGACCAAGAAGTAGGGACCCATACTAGTGGACACCAATCGAAAAAGAAACAAAACTTATTGAAAAAAATATCAATGCAAATCAGAAATCAGATTTACTTAGTTGCCATTTTATACAACCTATCAATGAGCAACTCAAGATTGTCACTTACCGTTTGTATAATTAGCCATTAATTAATCTCTTAATTAGAGAGTTGGACTTGATGGTCGCTAAAGCCCCTTCCAGCTCTAAATCCTATGCTTCTAAGACCCCTATTAAGGTCCAGAAGAGGTTATTGTTTTGCATTTGTAGAAGAGGCCCCCTCACCAATGGGGCAGCTAGATGACGAAGTGGATAGAGCACTGGGCTGGAATTAGGAAGACTCATCTTCATGAGTTCGAATCCAGCCAGACGTTTACTAGTTGTATGACCCTGGGCAAGTCACCTAACTCCGTTTGCAAATCACTCCAGTATCTTTGCCAAGAAAACCCCAAACGGAGTCATGAAGAGTCGGACATGACCACGCCCTCACCAATAAATTGGAAACTCTTTCAATGCAGAAGTAAACTTAACACAGTTCATCATCTAAATGAATGATGTCCTTTTCAAAGCAGTCACTTTAGAATGTTGCCATTGCTGAAAACAAATTCAGATAGATGTGATTAGGCAAGCAGAAGAAGTGGAAAATCACAAGAACCATCCTTTAACAAGAGGTTAAAGAAGATCAACAATTTTCCAAAAAAATAATTTCAAGTTGTCAATGACTGTATGAAAATATGTTCTAAATTATTAATAGTAAGAAAAATGCAAATTAAAAAACACTGAAGTTTTACCTCACACACCCTTGCAGGAATGACAAAAGAAGACAAAAAACCAAAAACCCCAGAAACAATGTTGAGAAACCTTTGGGAAGAGATGTACACTAATCCTTGTTGGGGGAGCTGTGAATTGGTCAGTTTGGGGCAACTTCTTGGAATTATGCAAGAAAAGTTTCTAAATTGTACTCACCAAATCACTGATACAACAAATATTCCAGAGAAGTCTAGTCAGAAACAAAGATCCTGCAGGTGTCAAAATATCCACAGTACAATTTTTTGTGTATAATATAAAAGAACTGGAAACAAAGTGGGTACCCATCAATTGAGGACTAGCTGAACAAACTGTGGAATATGCAGGTAATGGAATATTATTTGCAGTAGGAAATGACAAATATAAAGAATTCTGGGAAATATGAGAAGATGTATATGAGTTTATGCAGAGTGAAGTTATTGTCGATTGTCCTTCATATTTGAAAAAGACCAATGACATCGTAATGTTAGGGTCAAGATATAGTATGTTTCAGCTGTGGCCGATCAGTCCGATATGAGCTTGGAAGACTCCACCACAGGTCAGGCACAAATAGTCCATTTGAACATTTGAGATGGAGATGTCTCTAGATTTGAGCATCTCATGTTTCCCTTACGCTAACTTCGGTTCTACTTTGTTCATAAAGCACAGAGCCTCCTTTAAGCCAGGCATGCCCTAGCATAGTGGTCCTATGCTAGTGTCCCCCTGGCTCATAATCATAAGCCAAACCAGAACAATATAAACAATTACTACAACAATGTAAATGAAACCAAATGCTGAGTAATTGGAAAAACCAATAACGGTCCCAGAGAACAAATGTGGGAAGCGTGAAACAGAGTTATGAAACAGAGGTATGAAACATACCTGTGTTCTCTTGGTTTGAAGACAAACTGTTACAAACATTGTCAGATGTGGTCATTGTATCAGTGTTTTGGGGTTGTTTTTGTTTTTGTTACAAGGAAGTTTCAATTAATTGAGAAAGTGAAGGAAGGGGAGTGTTAGTGCCAACTAAATTACAACTAGCACAAATGCATAGCCTAATGTCTGATTGGGAGATGCTATGCCCTTTTTCATAATGTATTTAAAAATATATTTGCTGTTTAGGGTTTTTATAACTGTGTATGACATCTTTCCTTTGTGAATGTTAAACAAATCAATATTGCTTGATAAAAAATGAATACAGGGCAGCTACATGGCATAGTGGATAGAGCACTGGACCTGAAGTCAGGAGGACCTGAGTTCAAATTCCGTCTCAGACCAAACACTTGATACTAGCTGTGTGACCCTGGGCAAGTCATTTAACCCCAATTGCCTTAAAAAAAAAGAATGAATACACATACATTTCTACATACATGTAAGTTAATTAAGGCCCCTTTCTCTCTAATATTAGGATTTTGAAGTGTTTTATTCTCTCTCTTAGAATCCAGGGAAACATTTTTATGTTGAATCTCAAGGTAGAGCTGTAGCTCCTTAAAGCAAAGGCCCTATTGTCTTTTCACAAGAATATTCCTTACGGCTGGTACTCTTGGCCTTGGTCAAAGCTATTAAGAGTTAAAAGTCATTAGGATACTCTATTAAAAGTCTAGTTCCTAGGAAGAGCTTAATGTGTATCAGAGATGGAAAGTTTTCTAAGTGTAGCTATAGTTTTAGAAGTTGGTGTACACATTCCTTGAACCTCAGTGCAGCACCCCCTCAAGGCTGTTCCTCAACTTACACTCGCATTAGTATGTTGGGTCCCCTGACAGTGACTTCTCCCTCAAGGTCCAAGCAGTATCCACTCCTAAAACAGGCATCCACTGCATTCTTCCAATTAACAATCACCCAGCACACACAGTTAGCCTTTTTTTTTAAGGCAATTGGGGTTGAGTGACTTGCCCAGGGTCACACAGCTAGTAAGTGTCAAGTGTTTGGTCTGTCAGGATTTGAACTCAGGTCCTCCTGACTTCAGGGCTGGTGCTCTATCCACTGAGCCACCTAGCTGCCACCCACAGTTAGTTTTTAGCAAAGATACTTACTAAAATAATGTATTAAGAACAGTAGTTATAGAACATTTCCTCCCTCCCAAGAAATTTGTGCGGACTGTCCCAATGAAACAGACAACCCATAATTCCAGAACTGCCACACCTTGAAGTCCTTCCTTTCCTCTTCATGCAATCTTCTCTTCAGTTCCACTCCTGATTGCCGCTCTCTCTTGAATCTTTAGCTGACTTTCTTCTCTTCTACCAGGGATCATGCACCTTGAAATTGCTTCTGTCTTCGAGTGACTCTCTCACTGTATGTGTGTCTGTCTTGGGTGCATATCTTTGCTTCATCACTGTACCTCCAGCTCTCTGAACTGACTCAGATGTCTTGATGGAGTGTCTCCATCTGGTCAGGTAGCGGTGCTGCTAGATGTCAGAATCAATAGGGGGATAGAAAAGAGAGAGAAATCCAAATCTTCCCTCCCTTCAGGACTCTATTTCACAGCTAGCTCCTGGCATGCAGTCCCTAACTCTTAGAGCTGCCCAGAAAACTGATGGAGGCTAAACCTGAGAGCCAGAGGGAAAAAAAAATCACAGAGGTTTTGTCCTGTCTCTAGTTTTCCTGACATCTTTACTTGTACAAAGAATATCCTTTGATAAATGTCATTAGTATATACAATTTATATCTCTTAAAAACAAAGAAACATACATAGTAACAGCCACATTGTGCGATGACTAGTATTGATAGACTTAACCCTTCTCAGCCATACAAGGATCTAAGATATCTCCAAAGGCCCCATGATGGAAAATGCTGTCCACATCCAAAGAAAGAACTATGGAGTTTGAATGCAAATCGAAGCATACTATTTGCTATTTTTTTCTTCTATTGTGTTTTGTTTCCTCTTTCTGGTGGTTCCTCCTATTAGTTCTGATTCTTACTTACAACATCACAAATGTGAAAATATGTTTAATAGGAATGTATGTGTATAGCCTATATCAGATTGCACGCTGTCTTGGGGACGTAGGTGGGGAGGGAGGAGGAGAAAAATTTAAAACTCAAAAGCTTGTGGAAGTGATTGTTGATAATTCAAAATAAATTAATTTTAAAAAACAAAGAAACAAAACCTCAGCTTTCTCTTCTTTCTTTCCTTTCTTTCTGTTGGAAAAGAGAAAAGGAAACAAAACTTTTGCAACAAATGTTGTTGTTCAATCATTGTCTGACTCTTCCTGACCACATTTGGGGTTTTGTTGGCAAAGATACTGGAGTGGTTTGCCATTTCCTTCTCCAGTTCATTTTACAGTTGAGAACAACAATGTTGTTCTGTGAAGTTTGGATTCAGTCAAAGGGCGGCGCTGGAGGACCTAGAGGGCCACATGTAGCCTTGAGGTCACAGGTTCCCCACCCATGTCCTAAACCTATTCTCTTAAACCTGAGACTTCCATTCCCTTCATCTTCATCTTCTCTTCAACTTCACTTTCTTACCTTTCCCATCTTGATTTTATAGTTAATCATTTCAACTCTACCACTGTTGTTTGCTCTGAAATCTCTCCCCCTATAATCACTCATAACAAAATTCATCTAGAGAAACAAAAGGTCAAGAATCTAAAGAGAAATTTAAAAATAAAGTGAAAAGAAAAGGGGTCTAGTTGTACCAGATCTCAAGTTATACAACAAAATAGTAATCAGAATTATTTGGACCTAGTTAAAAAATGGGAA